TGGTGAAAGGCCTGCAAACTGAGCCGTCGAGCTTGAGCGCTTTCAGACTTGTGTCATGACAACACACTGAAAACAAAGGAAGGGGGGTGGGTGGCCGTCCCAGCAGTAGAACAGAAATTCAACGATGAATGCAGCTAGGACTTACCGATAGTGAAGGGTGCAGCACTGTGGGCCATTAACTGTTTTTGGGTCCGGAAAGCACTCTTTGGCGAGCGACCCGCATCCTGAGAGCTCGGGCCTCCTTGACTAACGCGGGCTTGCCAGTCAAAACAACATGTGCAGTCTCTTCGTTGCCTTGTCCCCCTGGTCTCTCTGGTCTGCTGTCTGCCTCCAGCCTCAGACCAAACAGGCCAGCAAGCATCAGCAAGCCATCAATTAGTCTCAACCGGTTGGGAGCATGGAGAACGCATATTTTGCATTGCCGCTCCTCCTCACCTCTAGTGCGTATGCCGGGTGTTGGCAAGTAACACTTGTGAGTTTTGCTCCCTGGTGTCCTTGCAGTCCATGCAATGGACATTTGATATGTTCCATCTTGATTCGGACACAAGCGTCGAGCTTCACGCCATTGCTCTCATCATTGTGGGCTGCACGATGTCTTGCTGAATTTGAACGACACGCGGACCTTGGCGTTGATGCATGGCAAAACAAAGCACTCGCTCCTTCACCAAGCGCACAGCCTCATGCCAAGGTATGGGACCTGGCAGCTGCAGTTAAGCTGCTAACTGAGATAAGCTGAAACATTCTTGCGAACATCGACCCCTACCACAATAGCAATGCTGATGCATCAACTGCAGCTTGACAGCCTGCTCCGCCATGCTCAATCAGGTGCCTTGAGTCAGGTTTAGCTTGATGCCAGCTTGTATCTCTTGAGTACCAGGATTGAGCCGCGCACGGTCAGCTGCAGATTGGAGAACGGTTTTCGAGCCAAGTGCTTGCTGATGCAGGAAAGAAATGTTGCTAACTAACAGTGAATATGCAAGTCAATCTCACAGCGCATGAAGAGCAGCCGGCAATGCATCAGCAGGTTGGGCAAAGCAAACAGCAGCACTAAGCCTACAAAAATACGCAACACAGATATGCAAAGTCCTGCCAGTGTCAACACAAAGTCGACGTTTAATCTCAACACAAACTATATAACATGTGTAACAACATTAAGTGCAATTGCAAACCCACATCCTCAGCAACAACCTCATGCCCCGCAAACTCAATGAAGTGCCATGTTCAGCTGTCTAAGCGACGGTGCTGAAGGCTGACCAAGTCCAAAAATCAAGCAGTGGCGCTGCATCTCTTGATTTGTGTTTCCATTCCAACATATTTTGCAATCTAACGAAGCTGATAATCCTCTGCACTCGCAAACGTGCGCGTCCACAAGCGAGCTAGGAGTTTACGGATTGCTGAGTGCATTTCAAAAGCAACTCATGCGGTTCCATGCCAAAGCCGTCAGTCCGGCTTGAAAATTCAGAGTTCACCCGACTCAGCGATGGCCACTGGTGCACGTGTCCTTGCAAGTACTTCGCATGCCAAATCATTGTGTTCACAGTTACTCAGTTATAACACGGGCTTTAGGCCGCGCAGATTATGCGAATGCTATGGCCAATTGCACCTGATCTGAAAGAGCATGAAAACGCAAGAGTTCCAATGAGTTTGCTTTTGCGCCAACAGGCTGCTGGCATCTGAGGCCATCGCCGCCCAGACTGGCTACCCACGGACTCCATCTTTCTCACCACATCCAATCCTAGCAAAAATCAAATATCGACATCGACACGACAAACGGAAAAGCTAACACACAACATGCACAGGCTTTTGTTCTATGCACCGAATGGGATGCTGCAAACAGGCTTTTGTTCTATGCACCGAATGGGATGCTGCAAACAATGGTTCCATCCTTCCATCACCTCTCCAAACACCACATGCTTGCCATTGAGCCAGTCGGTGGGGGCCGTGGTAATGAAGAACCTGCCACCGCACTCAAGAACTGCGCGCGAAATGATGTGGCATGACTCTCATCAAGTGGAATCAAGGGCAAGTAAACTCCAACGGCCCTCAAACAAACATTGGCCACACATTGCTGCCCACAGATCGAGGTCGTTACTGAGTTACAAGTCTCGCCAGCGCCACTGAGAGCCGTTGGTGTTGGGGCCAGCGTTGGCCATGCTGAGAAGTCCTGGCCTGTGGAAAGGAAATAACATGTTTTCTGCAGCAAGGTGGCACAGAATGAAGGAGGTTGACAAGTGAAACGTCGTGGGTTCAGCAGAAAGTGTTTATCACAGCTTCATGTTCAATTCATATTTGTCTGGCTCATGGCAGAGTCCAAATTGGCGAGTGAGCGCCGGGCTTTGTGTGGTTCAGCCTTAGTTCAAGGTGATGCTCTGCAATGCCGAAAAAATAATACAGCAGATCTGCTAGTGCGCATGGCGGCCAAACAAGAATGTTCTTCGGGTCTCTTGAAACACTGTAACTCCGTTTCAACGCATGTGCACATGTCCAGTTCACTATCATGCACCAAGTACCGGATCATTGAATCAATCATTTTTGTCAGAAGAACGAGTGACTTTCTATACGTGCGCACATATGGACCCGAAGGCCATGGTGGATGTGTGAGATCTGTGAGCGTTTTGGTTCCTGGCTCGAAGTTCTCATCTTCGAACTTGTTGCCTGGAAAAGGCTCCCAGGCAAACTGGTTGGAGATTGACTCGCTAGATGGGCATGCGCTCTCCTGAAGCCTAGTTCCGCCCTGCAAGTTACGTGTACGCCGGCGCCTCTTGCTCACGTCTCAAGCCCTTCAAGGCAAGATATGTTGGGCACCAATGCCACATCGTTGCCCCTCTTACCTCCTACCCCTCCCCTAAAATCGCTGCCCCTCCCCTACAAGTCTAAATTGGATTTTGCACCGCGGGGGGGTGCCCGTGTGCCACTGCATGATTCCGAGATGGTTGGACCTGGAGTGTTGATTCCTCTAGACCGCCCGTCCAGCGAAACCAGCATCACACCAGCATCACACCAGCATCACACCAGCATCACAAGCACCACCAGCCACCAGCATCACAAAAGACCAGCATGCCATACTCAGGCACGGTGTACCCTTCTACGCATGGACAAGTTCGATGAGATGTGACGAATACGAGGCCCGCCTAACCCACTTCGCTCCCTTCTTCCCTCCAAAGAAATGCTGGGAACGTGAGAACCCAACTTCCTTCACGCTGAACTCCGTGCATACGGCTGCTTGGACGCCGACTCAATTGGCGCGCCCTTGCCCCTTCCAGCCATTTACATTTGACCGTCCCGATGGCCTGTGTGTCCAAGGTTTAGTTGGAGGGTTTCGCGAAAGCAATCAGACCAAATGCTGGCCTTGCCCTGCATGCTGCTTGCATTGCCCAGCATCACGCAAGCCCGCTCGGTTTGCAGGGTGTCGCTGGCCCTTGCCCACAATCAGCAGCATGAAGACTTGGGGGCCTGCTCATCAGGAGGCCCCTGCCTGCAAGAAGTTGTCCCACCGGCGCAGGAAGTCACTGAGACGTTGCGTTGGCAAAGCCAAAGTAAAAGATCCTAGCCTTTTTTTGACTTTTTTGTGTCAAAGTTCTTTGGGTGTGACTTTGTTGGGGAGGGCATCGCCAGAATGGCGCTGTCAGCGCACTGAGGAAGAATGGGCGCCACAAGGTGGCCCTTGTGTATCAAGATGGGCTTTTCCGAAGGAGGCTTACTGAAACACAGTCTGGCCTCATTTTCGCATGGAGAACCATAAAAGGATTCAGGCCGCTAGAGCAGCGCGATGTGAGTAATTAAGTAAGGATTATCACCAGGTACGTCAAGTAGCAACACAATGCTGGTGGCACACAAAGATGGTAGGCAAAGACTTGCCACATGGCTTCTAAGTCTAATGGTCCCTGGAGGGTCCATTTACACAAAAATGGTGATCACCGCCAGAAAGCTTGGTTGCTCGGCAGCATGTGCAAACACACACACACACAGCTGAGTAGAACTGTCAAGTCGGCGATGTGAGCCGGAGGCGATGAAGTATGACCAGCGTTGGCTAGCTGCGTTTTCCCGGCTTTCTGTGGATCTGTTTGAGCTGGGCATGGCGCCATAGATGCTTCGGCCACCAGTTCCATTCATGTTCGTGAAGTCGCCGCCCTGGCGCAGCGCAATCCAAGCGCAGCGAATGAATGAAGGAATGCATGAATGTGGGCATCAGTAAACACTGGCCGCGCCTGGCACATGAAACCAGGGATAACTCGGTGGAATGGGCAGCCTTCCGCATATACGTGCAATCCCTGCAAGCAAACTGCTGGCAATGGCTGCTTCAAGTGTCCCTGTGGATTGCAAAAGTAATTCTGGCACGCCCTACCCCCCCCGCCGGCAGGTGGTCAAAATCTGACCGGCGCAGATTTTGGAAATCCAGGGACGTTTCCGACATTTAAGTGTGACAACTCTCGGCCTCCATATCCCTCGCCAGGACCTTTCAGGCAAAGCTGACGGAAGTTCTCGGTTGTCTTCGGCACAACGTTGCCTCAACAGCGCTGCCAGGCGTAGACGTTAGAATTGCATGGCGCTGCATGGTGTTGCATGGCGTGCAGCTCTGTGGCTGCTGACGGCTCACAAAATTGCAAAACCCGCAACTCTAAGCTGTCGGCCGTACAGCCCGAAAACAATGCGGCCAGCAGGCTCACCACCAATTACAATGTCGAAATAGACCTGCTCTTTCTTCAGCGCAATATGCACAAAAATTGCACGCGCTATGACATGACATGACTTCTTCCCCCTCTTGCAAACACCGCCCCATTGCCCCAATACAATCAGCAATCCAGAAGAAAATCGCGCGTATTTACAGAGCGCGGGACTGGTCAGTTGAAAAACTGCAGATAGCTCAACGCCCCATGCTACGTTGTCATCTCAGTGTCAATCTTCCGAGTTGCTATCCACCCTGAGAAGGGGATAACGCAAACCTGAGCCCAACCCTTCCCAGCGAATCGCAGTTTCCGCTGAAGGAAGTTACGTGTTTCAGTCGAAATCGTTCTTTGCCCTGACTGGCCGCGTGGGAGCCATTGGAAACTTGTCAAGCTATGAACTTACTGGGGGCATGCAACACGCGACGCGCCGCGAATCTTCTTACGGAGGCGGCCCTTGCTACAAAGGTGTGTCACGGGGAAAGCGCGGCTTGACAAGTATCACAGAACAACAGAGCCGCAGCTCCAGCTCAAAAGTTGCAGCTGTTCCGGGCAAGTGCAGCACGCAAAGAGCACCTCCGCAACTCCAGTTTCAAGTTTGCAACTGTTCAGCGCAAGCCAAGCAATGGCAACAAAGGGGGTCGCTGGCCAGGGCGCTGGTTGGGTCTGCAACGGGGTACGCAACGGCTACGTAATGCGGTATGTGAGGGCTACTACGCACGGAGGTGTGTAGCGAGGCATAGCAAAGTGCAGTACGCAAAGCGCGCCTCCGCAGCTCCAACTTGAAAGCCGCCACGACTCAACGCAAGCCAAGCGACGGCGAAAAAGGGGATGGGGCTGGGTTGGGTCTGCGACATGGCGTGCGACGGCTATAGTGTAACGAGGTGCAGCAGGGCAAGCTCGCTGCAAGCTGACTGTCCAGCGCAAGCATGCTCTGCAAAAGCCTGCTCTGCAGGCACCCGTGTCAAATCACTGCGGAGCATCCGAAAGTGGGCAGCATCAAGCAGCTCCGACTGAAATTGATGACATCCAGTTAGAAGACTTTCCTTCCGAACATACTTACATGGTCTGGGTGGACATAACGACCCGCCAAAGCTTGTGGGCCCACTGTGATTAGTGTCAAGCCGTTCTTTGGTGCGAGGACATCGTCTTCGTGAACAGAAAGAAGAGCTACTCGGTGGTCGGGACGACGGCCGGAAGGTCTGGGGCCGGTGCCCGCGCTCGGGCTACGGCCACCCCTTCAAACGGAAAGCCAGGGGGTCAGAGCAGCGCAGGCGTGGGACAGGATTCGTTGGTTGCAGACATCCAAGGCGTGGGCCTCCAGCAACTTAGGGGCTGACTGCGCCGCTCCGAGCGCCGGCGTAACGGTCGTCCAAGCGCCGGCACGTAGCGCTGTGAGAGCTCCATACGCGTTGCCCCGATTGGCTGTCCGCCTCAAGGACTGTCGTTGCCAGGAAGGCCGCAGCTTGTTGGGCAGCCTCTGTGGGCGGTGTCGGGAGCACGGCCTGGCCGGCAAGAGCAAGAGGTAAACCGCGTAACAGGCCACAGGCGCGGCGCCCGCCAAGCCCCAGGGCCCAGCCAGAAGGGCTCCAGACAGCCGAGATAAGGGAGGCCGGCGCACCAGAGGTCGAGTCTCAGCAGTCCGCGGCCCCTCTAGAGTGGCCATTGTCAGGAGGAAAGCCAAGGCTTGCAAAAATGGCTATGGACAAGCTTTTCCCTTGCGCTGCTGCCGCTGCTTCTTCGGCATCTGATCCCTGCTGAGGCCTTTTTTCCCATGTCCCCATCGCCCTGTGGGCAAATGTGGCCTGGTCTCTCTTGTGGCTGGAGTCATGCCTGGCACCATCCCTCTGTGAAGGTCCTGAATGCTTCGAGCTTCGGACCATTTTGGCCCTCGCCCACATTGGTTCCAAAGCTTTTCCTGGCATATAATTGGTCACTTAGGCAAGTGATTTGTTCGCACGGAGAAATCCGCCGACATTGCTCGGCGTGTCGGACACCTAAGAGAGGATAGAGGATAACCCCCCCCCCTTACCCCCCCCCCACCCGACGTCTGATACTGGGGGGGGGGGAGGGGGGGGGGGGGGGGGCCCCCCCCCCCCCCCCCAAGGACCGCGCGGCAATTTGATGACGTTCCACTAAACGTAGTCTTCGGGGAGCCGGTGTCACAAGACAGGGGTCCCAGGCTCGATTCCCCCTGCCGGCTCTTTGCTGGTTTGGGGTTCCTGCCTCCCTTTGCCGAAAATCTGGAAAAATTCTGTGTTTTTTTGACGTCCTGATTACGAAAACGCTGGAAAAACCGTGCTTTTTTGCGAGGAATATTGGGGAGCAAAGGGGAAATGCAAGGAAGTGCAAGGAAATAGGGGGGAGGAAATAGGAAGTTGACATGACAGGAAAGCAGCGGGACATGACAGGGAAACAAAAGGGAACTGAAAGGGACATGCAAGGGACAGAAATGAAAACATGGGATTGCAGGCAGAGTCTCACAAGGAAACCAATCGGCACGACGGGGGATGTAGGGAAATGACTTGCGACGAAAGAACGAGACATACATGGACAATGAAGCGGGCATACCGGAGAAACTGTCAGGGACATGAAGGGGGGGTTGAACGGCATGGAGGGGACAGGACCGGACCCCCCCCCCCCAAGCACCGCGCGGCAGTTTGATGACGTTCCACTAAACGTCGCAAAATAAGGGTCCCAGGCTCGCTTCCCCCTGCCGTCTGACGCTGCAATGCAGAGAGAGGTCCCAGGCTTGAATCCCCCTGCCGCCTCTCTGCCGGCTCGGGTTGCGCGCTTCCTTTTGCTGACAGCCTTGAAAATACTCCGTGTTTTTTGACATCCCTTGTGCGAAACGTTGACAACTACCGTGTTGCCCGATAATTTCACGATAAATGCATGGAAATAACGGGTCGCTCCCTCAACGGGCCCCCCCGCCCTTGGCCAGTCTTGCCCCAACACATCGCCTGTTCGGAATCAGGTGCCGAGGACCCAACTGGACATTCCTACGCAAGTTGAGTAGTTAGGTCAGGGCTTCTCAAAATAGGAATCGGACCCCTTTTTGGATGGTTTTAAGGAAACCAATTATCTGTAGGGTCCCCGATTTTGAGCAAACCCAGGCGCCAAGAACATCCTCCAAGAAGAAGAAGAACCTGACACAGAGCGAACACAGGCCCATTCGATACGTAGGGTAAATCCTTGGGCACGGTATTTACGAAGGGTAGTTGCTACCCAAGCCGGCATCCCTTTTTCCAGCTTGGACACGCGCTAGCCGTCCGTCACTTTGCTGAGTCGTCTCTCAGGTGTGTGTGGGGAGGTGGCATTGGGTACAAACTTCTCCTGACAAATGGAGATCTGAACTCGCGAGCCGCGGGACTTAGGAAGGCCCCGCATGTCCCTCCACGTGGTTAAGTCAACGATGTCTCATCCATCTACTTTCACCACCTAACTTTAAAACTGACACAACGCGTCTGACGGGCTGCTGTTGCACTTCCCTGTGCGGGGGCGTTCAAAGGTAGTGAGACAAGCCACATTTTGGATTGCATGGAAGCCTTGGGGGTCTGATGTGACTTGCTGAGCGCTCTCTCAAGGTGCTGCCGCCGAGCGTCCCTTGGGCGTTCTGCTTGCTGGCTGGCGCGTTGCCCGCCGCTCTTCTTGGTCTGGCGCAAGCCTCCGGGAGACCGTCGAACCCAGCCGTGCAAACCAAACTTCACGGTCGTTCAAGACAACCTGAGACTCCTCCCATGCCTTGAACTTGACACTTCTCCATGCCTCGCTCCAGATCCAAGCCTGCCTGCAACTTGTTTCAAGTCTTGCCCTCCTACACGGGCCACTAGCGCATCTCAGTCCTGCCGCCCACCCAGGCCTGCTCCCGTCCTTTGCTTTCTGACCGTGCAATTGCCGGTCGTCTTTGTCCTTGCTACACTGCAGATGCTGCGCCGCAACTTTCCCTGAAACCCTGCACAAAAAATGACGCCCCAGGAGGGCTCTCTCAAGCCCCCCAGCACCAGTCCTGCCGCGCCCTCCCGCTTCGCTCCGCGCGCTTCCCGGCGCCCCGGCTTCAACCGCCCGCTTGCCGCGCGGTCACGCGTCCGCAGTGCTACTCCAACACGGCCTGCACACAGGCGGACGCTCCCGCGCCATATCCGCCTGCGGTTTGCACCTCCCGCACCGCTTGCACGTCCTATGCCCTGCCAGGCGCCGAACCACCGGCTTGCATTGCATGCATTGCCGTCGCTTTGTCGGCTTCGCGAGCTCGGCTCGAGCAAACTCGCACAGCGCCCGCTGCATACCGCAGCCTGCGCACAAGATTCCGTCAAATCTGTCTGCTTCGGACTCAGCCGCCGGTAGCGCGTCGGCCCCGCCGGCGCTCGCAGCCTCCGGGTCGCATCTTTCCGCCTGCAGCTCTGCCGCCAGGGGCGCCCGTGCCTGCACACTCGAGCCACCGAAACTGCTCGACGTTCCTGCGTCTTCCGGGCCGCGTCGCGTTGCCGTCGGCTCCGCCGTTTCTTGCAAGACGTCTGCCACGGGCGTCTCTTCTGCCGGCTCGCCGCAGCAGGCGCGACACTTTCGCAGCGAAGCAGGCTCCCTGCGCTGCTTCCGCGAAAACGCCACCGCCGCGGTTTCTACGCCGCACAGCGCGCATACACACCTGCCGTCGCCCTTGCTTGCCCGCTCGGCGCACGCGCGACACTTGCGCACGCTCGCTGGCTTTGCCAGCTGTGTTGCGCTGAACGCGCCTTTCCCCAGCTGTCGGTCGCAGCCTGCGCAGCGCCAGTCTTGTCTCTCGCCGGCAGCGGCTGCCCGCTCGGCGCATGTGTGACACTTGCGCTCGCTGGCTGGCTTCGCCAGCTGTGTTGCGCTAAACGCGCCTTTCTCCAGCTGTCGGTCGCAGCCTGCGCAGCGCCAGTCTTGTCTCTCGCCGGCGCCGGTTGCCTGCTCGGCGCACGTGTGACACTTGCGCTCGTTCGCTGGTTTTGCCAGCTGTGTTGCGCTGAACGCGCCTTTTGCCAGCATTCGGCTGCAGCTCGCGCAGCGCCGGTCTTGTGTCTCGCCGGCGCCGGCGCAAGCCCGACACTTCCGGGCACCCGCGTCTCTCGCCAGCTGCGCGTGCGTGAACGCGCCTTTTCCCAGCTTGCGCTCGCAGCCGACACACCAGCAATCTGGTGCCTGACAGCTCTTGCAGATCTGCCTTTTGGTCCTGCCTCGGCCGGTGTCTGCGCGGCCTGCTGCGTTGTCTGTGGGGAAATCTTGTCGCGGACACCAGGTCAGGCACAAGCTGCATTCTGCCTTGAGCGCCCAGCAAAGGTTGCATATGTCTCGACCCGCGCCTCGCTGTGCGCTAAAGTCTGCTTTCTCCTTGCGGACATGACAGGCGACACATGTCTTCTCGCCGCGACGACAGACTTGGCAAACGGCTGCGCTGGCTGCGCTGGTTGCCGCGTTGCCGTCCGGCGCGGCGAAGCTGGCGCTCGGCCTCTTTCTTCCGCACCGGCTGCACTCCTTCGTTCCGCCGTCTGTCGTGTCTAGCACGGACCAGTCGACTGGTTCTCCTGACAGCCACTTCAGCAACACAACAGGGCCCGGCGCAGGGCCGCGCGCGAGCAGACCGCGCGCAAACGGCCGAAAAATCAGGACGTCCTCCGCGCGGCGTACCCGCGACAGCGCGACGTAGCTCCCTACGCTGGACATCTCCGCGCTCAGCTGTAGGTCGACGATAGCTTTCTCCAGCGTCAGTCCAAGCGCACCGTGCGCAGTGAGCGCCAAAGCCGGGCGGAGGGGTATCTGCGATCTCCGCACCCATAGCACCGGCTTCCTTCCTGGCGCTGCCGTGTCGACCGACCACCGGACGGTTTGCGGGCCCAGCGGGTACTGCCCCACGGCCAAGTCTGGACAGACTTGCCACGACGCGTCCGGAAACTCGACAACCACCGCCGCCGCCGGCTTGGACAAAACGGCTGCCTCGCTCTCGTCACCTTCCACAGTCCAGGAAACCACCTTGCCCACGGCTCCACGCCACAGCTTCTTTGGTCTGTCGATGTGATCGCACAAGCTGACGGGCAGCCCCTGCACTAGCGGCAGCATGCCAGGAAGGCTCCCTGTCTTGCGATCGTGGTATGTAAGCCAAGCCAGCTTGCGCTTGCGCAGGTCTGGGTCTGTCGCAAGGGCCGCGCAGTCTGCCCTGTCTTGCGCTGCGCACCATCTCACCGCCTGATCTGTCTGCCTTGCGTAGTCCTGCGCACGAATCTTGTTTGCCTCGTATTTGACATCATTATTGGCGACGATCAGGGGAGCATCTTTGAACTTGCCTGCGAAGCGACCGTCCGTGGGGCCGCTTGCCACCAGGCGCCGCCGCTTTCTCTCCAGCTGGCACGCCGTGCACTCCTGCTCCAGGCAGGCCGTGCCGCATAACGCGGCGCACTCCCTCTTCCCACACAGCACTTGCCCGTTCACGAAACTGCCTGGGACGTCTGTCGGCAGCCCGTGCAAGAACTTGTGGTTCTCCTCCGAGAGGCGCCCGAAGCGGCACTGCTCTAGCAAGTCCAGCCACCAGGCATCGCGGCACCGCTGCGGCGTCTGCATCTCCGTGACGCCGTGCAGGCCATACCCGTCACCCTTGTCCCAGATCAAGGCCTGGCCGAACTCAGCCGTTGCTGCGCACGGTCGCTGCATGCGCTCGAAGTCAGGTATGCTGCACAAGCTTCGCCCGTTGTCCGGCGGGTCGAGTTGATGAAAATCCCCTGCCAGAACCATGCTCAGGCCGCCCCACGGTCGCTCGCTGTTGTCGCTTGTCAGCTTCGAGGAGCCGCGCTCTGGTCGCAGTGTCCGCGCCTGCCTCTCCATGACCGCCAGAAACGATGCTGACAGCATGGAGACCTCGTCCACAACGACCCACTCGAGGCGCTGGAAGCTGCGCTGCTT